CTTACATCTCAGTACTCTTATTCAGTTGTAAAAAGTAGCTATCTTATCTACCTACATTAGTGTGCATTTAACTAAATATAAGAAAATAATTAAAGTGATTTGTCCTTGGACCACTTCTATCTGACCTCCACTAAAAGAGAAGGGAAGAATGTTATCATGGTGATAGCTGACATCAATAACAGTGGCTGCAGGTTTTCAAAATATTTTAGTATATTATGTTAATGGGCTTTCCAAAAAGACGCATGACTTGGCAGACATTGAGGACCAGTTAAGTCAGAGATCTCACCTTGTAATGGAAATTCTAAAGGGCTGGTGTTCTTGTTTTTGATCCCTGGGTTATAATGGGTTTTGGCTAAAATCGAAATTCAAGCTCTGTCTTTCTGGTGCTGACTCCTGTAGCTGTTCTGTTATGGAAAGTGATAGATCTTCCATTTCCTTTCCATTGAAGCTATTTGTCCATGTTCTCACAGGAAAAAGGGTGGAAACAAACTGCTCGATTCTAGTCCTTCCTGTGGCCTCGACTGTTTTAAAGGGAAGCCATGCATATCTGGCTTCAAGGCAACTTTGTGGGACAAACTCTTCCTGTCACAAAACAACCCTTGTGAAGTAGAGGAGGAGGATGGAGAAATGTATTTACGACGGGGTAGATTGGACTTCAGTCAGATCTTTTAAATGACATTTGAAGCCTTGATTTATATCGCCAGTCAGGTCTGTGAGACTGGATCCATTTCTTTAAACAAAAGTGAATTCTCATTGTTTCATTTAACATCCCTCACAACTTCGAACTGGATATGGTTGTCACTTTTAGTAGTAATTGGCTTGGACTTTTCTTTTTCAAGTGAAGGGTAACTATATGAGAAACCAAAAACGTAGTTTGGTTGGGCATGATGGTATTTTCCAGAGTTAATTGAAGCAGGTGGTGGGAAGTCTTTGGGAGGTGATCCTTAGGCAGTCAGTCCATAAGCATTTGTTAAGCACCTGTTCTGTGCTAGACTTTGTGGGTACAAAAACAGAAGGCAAAAGACTTTCCTTTCTCTCCAGGTGAATGAAGTAGGTTGCTCATTGGTATTTGGGACTAGATTTCTCACTTCTCTTTAAAAATTATTGTATCTTTTGTTTTCACATCACTTTCATATCTGAACATATCTCTCACCTCCCCTAATTCAAGCAGCCATTCTGTTAAAAAGAGAAAAAAAGTTCAGCAAAATAATAATAACAACAACAATAATTTGTTGTTGTTGTTTAGTCATTTTCAGTCATGCCCAACACTTTGCGACCCTGTTTGGGGTCTTCTTGTCAAAGATACTGGAGTGGTTTGCCATTTCCTTCTCTAGCCCATGTTACAGATGAGGAAACTGAGGCAAACAGGGTTAAGTGACTTGATCAGGGTCACACAGCTTGGAAGTGTCTGGGGTCACATTTGAATTTGGTTCTTTCTGACTCCAGTCCTGGTGCCTGGTACTCTATCCACTGAACCACCTAGATGCCCTTATATATTATAATAATAAAAACTAACATTTAGATAGGACTTACTCTGTGCTAGGCACCGTGCCAAGTTCTTTACAATTATTATCTTATTTGATCCTGGTAACTACCCTGAGAGGCAGGTACAATTATTACCCCCATTTTACTTCTAAGGAAACATTATACTTTCAGGAAGACGGTTGTTGCTGAGGCTTCCTGACTTCAGGTCTCGTACTCTATCCACTGCGCCCCCTACCTGCCTCCAGGAGTATGGTAGCCATCGCTAAAACAAGACTCCTTAGGATTGGAATTGGTAGAAGCCATTTTCATTTCATTTACAGCTCTGCATCTTCTGGTTCTGTTCTCTGAAAATATGTTGGGAGGAAGGAGGATGGGATCATAGAATCATAGAGAACTAGAAGGAACCTCAGAACTCAGCTATTTCATCTTATCTCCCGTTTGATGTATGATGGACCGAGGGCCAGACCATTAAATAGCTGGCCTGACTAGTAAGTGGCAGAGCTGGTATTTGAATCTAGGGCCCCTTGATGGCTAACTCCAACACTCGTTCCATCGTACCATGACCTGCCTGAAGTATTATGCCTCGTCAAGATGGAAAATTAGTTTCTTATTTAGTTATTGTGAAAGTCCCAAGCCCAAGATTCTTCTAAATTTGAATTTGTAGATGCAAATTTGTTCGGGGAGGTAGTGGTAGTTGTGGTACATGAGTGTGTGTGTGTGTGTGTGTGTGTGTGTGTGTGTGTGTAATCCACCTGATCTGTACCTTATTTTGATAAATTGCTGTCAACAAGCTTGCTGTCTTTGGAGATACAAATCCATACTTTAACAATTGAAACTAGGACGCACTGCTGCCTTTTGGGATCTTTTAAACTAATTCCCGCTGGTTCAACAAGTTAATACTAAACCCACTGGTTAGAATGGTTTTAATTCCTTTGGTTTTCCTCCCTAATCTGTACAAGAGCCTTTGAGAAGCCCCAAAGATAGGGCTTGCCAGAATCTTCCCTCTTCTTCCCCCCAAGTGCCACCTCTGCCATGAAACTTTCCCTGATCTCCCCAAACGGTTCAGAACTCATCTTTCTCTTCTGGCTTTTTTTTTCCTGAGTCCTGGGCCCCTCCCTCTCTCAGCTATTATTGTATTCTCATTTGTGTCCTGTTGATCTTGGCACTTGTCTGTCCTATCTCCTCTGGGGCCTAGAAGCTTCTTGGGAGAGAAGGAGAGTCATTCTGGAGCTTTTCTCTTCCTCGCTCCTCAGGCCTTCTTTGGAAGGAAGCCTTTCCCAAGCCTCCCATTTGGTCATCGTCTGTCCTGCCCCAGATTCCCTAGATTGCTGGGTCTATATGATTTCTCTTTCCTTCTTTGTTTTCTACCTTGTCTGTGTGCAGGTTTCATCATCAGTAGAATGAAAGCTACTTGAGGACAGGGACTGTTTGGTGGGATTTTTTGTCTTTGTACTCCCAGCACCTAACACAGTGGCCTACGTATGGTAGAGGCCCAGAAGATTTTTGTGGGATTGAAATTGCTGAATTCAAACTGAATTAAATGATTGACTGGAAAGAAGGGAAAAAGCATTTCTAGAGCACTTACTATGTGCCAAGCACTGTGCTAAGCACTTTACAAATATTATCTTGTTTGGTCCTCACAAAAACCCTTTGAGGTAGGTGCTGTTATTATCCCCATTTTACAGATGAGGAAACTAAGGTAAACAGGGGTTATGGATTTGCCCAGGTTCACACAGCTAGGAAGTGTCCAAGGCCAGATTGAACTCGGGTCTTCCTGTCTACATGCATAGGGCTCTGTACACTATGCTTTTAGGCATTATTATGTCAGATTGACAGCTGAGGAAACTGAGGCAGAAAGAGGTTAAAGTGACTTGCCCAGGGTCATACAGCTAGTAAGTGTCTGAAGTTGAACTTGAACTCTGATCTTTCTGACTCTAGCCCCACCGTTCTGTGAACAGTGGGGTCCTGTTCCTCCCCTTCCCCCACATCTGAATGTGTGAATACATGAAGTCCATGGGCTGAATGTGGACTACTTATATTCTTTTTCTAAAAGGATGCTATATATTTGAATCTATATTGAGGGTGTGTCTATACCTTTGATTTAATCAGTGGAGGGAACTCCCTCTACCCATGTAGAGTGACAGTTCATCTGCAGCTGTAGTCTTAGTTAGCTGCCTGACACTGGGAGTTGACTTGTCCGAGACGTATTGGATTCAGCAAATCTCTAGAGTCAGAGTAGGACCAATAGGAACTGCTGAATGACCCTTGCTCATTGCTGGCCCTGGCAGCAGGGCTTGGGAATCTACTAGCTGCCAATCACCTAAGAATTCTCCCTAATATGAGGAGCCATCAGTCTCAACTCTGAACCATATACACTTCAGGTCTGACCTCCCTTCTCCCTGGCCCCAGTGCTTGGTCCAGAGAAGGACACTCTAAAACCCTATCTGCTTCACCCATTGGGTCCTTTACTCTATCTGGGATCCCAGCAGTTGACCCTATGTCCGTGCCCCTTCATGTTTCCTCTCACTTCATTCTCGCTCTGTCTGCTCTACCTCTCAGTCATGCCAGCCCAGGGTTGAGGTCTCAGCAGTCACCCCTATCTCCCAAGCCAAGCTTGGAAAGTCGATCGAGATCTCTAGGGATGGATCTGGAACCTCGTGTCCTCCCTTCTTCTCTGACACTAGGGGTCCTGCCCTCAGCATGTGCATTAATGGCCTCCTTTCCTTGGACTGTCTTTTGGGATCCTGAATCTTACCGAACCTGTAAACATGGTCACACAGCTAGTATGTGGCAGAGATTAAACTTGAACATAACAAGGCTTCCTGATTCCAAAGCTGCCTCTGATTGGGCCATATTTGAGCTTTAGTGCATCATCAAGTGATCTTTATGTGGTTTTTGAAAGTAAGAGTCACTTAAATACATTTTAAAATTTGCTGTTATTTTAATTATTGATTTTTATCTACCGTGATTTAGATCATATTTAAGCTTGGCTCTGATTGAGCCCAGAGGACTAAAAAGAATAGAAAGGTGAGAAAAGGATAAATGTATTACAGGCTCCAAGTGAGAGACTCTAGGGATTTGCTGCAGAGCTTTCTCTTTGTGCATTTCTTGGAGTTAGGAAGTGATGTTTCTGGATGTCCTTAGCATGAGATTTTGGTGGAGCCCTAGACATCCTGTTGGATATTTGTCAGCTAATAGACTTCCAAATCTGTCATTTTGGGTCTTGTGTCATATGGAACCCATGGATGGCCTGGAGGCCTCACACAGATAAGCAGAGGGCAATAATACTATTTTAAGCAAGAGAAGTGTTGTTGTTGTTGTTTTGGAGGGGGGAGGGGAGAATGGCACTTAACCATTTTATGGAAGTGTTCCCAGGAAGTATTTTAGGAAAAAGAATGAGTCCTTCACTTAGAATACTATTTGGAGGAATTTCTCTTATTTTAAATAGGGCCATATTGCTATTATCAATAATGTATGAATTAATAGCATGAATTCCTTTTTTTTCCCCCACAAAGGAGAAAACAAAAGTTGTTGAGCCTCTGGACTATGAGAATGTTGTTGCCCAAAGGAAGGCCCAGATTTATAGTGACCCTCTCCGAGACCTGCTCATGTTCCCCATGGAGGATCTGTCTGTGAGTAGAGGAAGCCCTGAATCTGACACTCTGATGTTCACCCAAACCCCAGGGGCTTGGCTGAGCCAGAGTCCGCAAGACTTGTCTCCTCCTCCTAGGTGTCAGTGATAGCACGTCAGAGAAGAACGGTTGAGTCCACAGTCCCAGAAGATGCTGAGAGGAAGGCGCAGAGTCTCTTTGTCAAAGAGGTAGGGGCCACATAGCTTCCCAGCTCCTACTGATACATTTAATATACTTTCCTTTTCTTTTATGGTGGTTGTGATTTCAAAGTAAGAGAGAGGCTGGCCAATCTTCTACCCGGCCAGGCCAGGGAGTACTTCTTCATTGGATTCTGTTCATTGTAGTTGCAATAATGTCTGTGACCTATACAGTGGCACCACCAGCCTGCATCTGAAGTGGCTGGCCTACCTCCCAAGCTCCTCAATCCGCCTCATGGAGATGCAGAGTCTGGGCGGAGACTGAGTAGAAGAGCCTCAGCTCCTAGGCCCCAGCCAGGGAGAGGTTGAGAGCTCTTTGCAAATTGCTTTTTTTTTCCCAATTTTTTTGTAAAGGCCTCTTGCCAAGTTCTTCCTTTTCCTAACTTTTCCTCTTTTAAAAAATTTCTTTATTATCAAAGATGGCTGATAACTGGGGGAGGGGCTACGTTGAGAAATACAGGTGACAAAAAAAAAATCAATGACAATTGTTTTTAAAATCAAACACCCGGAGGACCTCTTTCTTTTTAAATAACTATTTGTGTTTATTTTTTTCTATGCCCCCAACTAATGATTTCAGTCTGCTTTCAGTGTATTAAGACATACAGCTCAGACTGGCATGTGGTGAGCTACAAGTATGAAGATTTCTCTGGTGACTTTCGAATGTTGCCCTGGTAAGTTGAACGAGCAATCAGTAGAAAGAATTCATCATGACAGGGAGGTTTTAGACTCGCTTATTTATTTTTTTAACTAACTGAGGCCTCTTTGTATTAGCCACAATTGTACTCATATATAATAAAAAGAATGCCACAAAGACCATCAAGGCTACAGTTGTAAAGCCCGTAAGCCCTCAGTGCCGCCAGCAGAAATGGTGTCCTGCCCCAAGGGAGGTAGAGAGGACTGTGGGGGCCAATGGTGAGCTCCGCTGGGGATGCCTCCAGTTGGTACCTGTACTGGTACTGATGGACTCCAGTTCCAGCCCACGGTCCATCCGGACTCAAAGGGCAGGGATGACTGGGTGTGGCTTGGAGCACTCTGTCCAGTCTTAGGCTGCCTCTGCCCTTCTTCTTTTTCATCTTCCCTTCTCATTTTTTGTTCCTTTCCTTTTCGGATCAACATCCACATGAAATGGGATTTCTTGGCTCTCCAGTGAGTTTGCTGTTTGGCTTTTTTACGGTTGAGAGCTTTAAGAAGATCATCTCTTGTCTGGTCTTTCCGTCTACTGTCACGCTTTGAGAGTGCATGACAATTTCAAAGGGTGCTCATTTTTCGCTGATTGTTTCAAATCTTTTAGAATCTCCTGGTCCCACAGAAAAGCTGCGAATTTGGCTGAAATCACTGTGTCTTCTTGTAAAAAGGAAAAACTCCCATTTTTGTAACTCCTCATGATTTATAAAACGCTCTTCCTCCCAAAGACCCTGTGAAATAGGGCTTGTAAGCATAGTCTCCTTCTTAGAGATGAGGAGATGAAGGCTCAAAGGAACTGGGCCTTGGCTCAGCTGACACGAGGTCCTACAACCTACAACACAAGCAATAATTACACATCGAGTGGTGTGGGAAGAAGCTTATCCTAATAATTGGCAATTTTATCTATTTTTTTGTGGTTGCAAAAGATCCAAATATCTTCAAAGGAAGAATAATACCTTGTATTTAAACGATGCCTTTAATTTAAAGAAAGCAAACCATTGCATCTATTACCTTGTATCTCCTAATAAAATCCTTCTTAGCGGGAATATGGTCAGTGGAGGCAATGGAGGGAATCCCAGTCTCTCTTCCTTACGATTTCTGCAAGAACCATGACATTTACATCAATCTTCTTTGGTCTTTGAAGATGATGTATGCTTCAAAGAAATTCTTCCACCTATGCACAATTTGTTTTTCTTCCTAAGGACTTTCCTTGGTTCTGTTACCAGCTAAAACACATCTGATGGTAACTCTTGAGTGCCTTGTTCCTAGCTGAAATCCTAAAGCTAACTCTTTCTATACCCTGGAGAATACTCTTCCTCCTCCCCAGCCCCTTTGCTAATACAGCATTATTAAGCTTTGAGAATTTTTACATTTTCCCCTCAAAATTTCCTCACAGTTATTGTCAAGGAGGTAGAGTAGGCATTATTCTCTCCTTGACAAATAAGGATGTTTACTTTCAGAGATGTTAAGTGACTTGCCCAAGGTTGCACAGCGAAGAAACAATAAAGTAGGTTCTCAGACCCGGGTTTTCTCACTCCTCCTAGTCTGTCGCCCTTTTTGCTAATCTAGTTGCCATGCTCCTTGTCTTTGTATTGACTGTGGGAAAGGCTATTTGTGGGGGGAGTGGAATGAGCACTGGGTGCAGGACATTAAGGAGACCTGGGTTTTAATCCTGACCCTTTGACTGATGAGCTGTGGGATGCTTTTCGGAAAGAGCGTGACTTGATTCCTCTCTTGTGCCTTCCCCAGCCAGATGGCTTGGGAGGCAGAGTACTTGAGCACCATTCCCGCTTCTGACACGAATAATAAGACTAGTGAACATTTAGACAGTGCCTTACATATATTATCTCACTTTATCCTCACAACAGCCCTGGAAGGTAAGTGCTGTTATTATCCCCATTTTGCAGATGAGGAAACTGAGGCAAGTAGAGGTTAAGTGACAGGCCCAGGGTCACACATCTCATAAGTGTCTGAGGTTTGATCCGAACTCTTGTCTTCCTGACTCCAAGTCTGACACGCTGTCTGCTCCACAGTGTAGCTGCTTGGGCGGGTCTCAGTTTCCTGTTCTGTGAAATGAAGGGGTTCGACTAGATGGTCTTGATCTATGATCCTTTGACTTGTGAGCAGGCAAGGCTCTAAGGCAGGGATGAGTTAAATGTAGATTAAATGTAGATGGAATGACCCTGTGGTCAGCCAACCCCCAACTCCATGCCGTATGAGGCGTGACCGCCACCGTTGTCTCCTCCAGCCTGGGCCTGCTAAGCCAAAGGTCACCTTCCTGAGGCGCTCCTCTTCCAGGGCCTCCCCCCGCACGCTCGGCCTCCTCTCCGAGGTCAAGGGGCTGTAGGCTGCTGATTGTGCTGCGGGGATGTGAGACAGATGGATACTTCCAGGGCTGGGCTATACACGGGGGGGCCAAATGTCTCTGCCTTGCTCTGGCTGCCCCTCTCTGTGGTTCATAGTGTCCTGCATAGGCCTCCATTTATCTGGAGGCTTTCTCTATGTGCTGTTTGGTTTCTAAGAAGATTTCATTGTTTTTTCAGCAAATCCTTGAGACCAGAGAAGATTCCCAGTCACGTATTTGAGATTGATGAAGACTGTGAAAAGGATGAGGTAAGGGCAAAGATAACAGTATTGGCCTCGTGTTCTACCGTGTAAAATTAAAGGCATTTTCAAAGTGAACTCTTCGAAAATTCAATTCAGCAAACAGTGATGAAGCACCCACTATGTGCAAAGCACTAGGGATACAGGGACAAAAATGAAAAACACTGTTCATTCTCTTGAGGGTATGCAGCCATATATGAGTGAGCAGTAAAGGAGAGTGCACCAATATTTGGAAAAGACCTCATGGAGGAGGAAACGCCAGAAGCAAGCCTCGAATAAGGATTGTTGAGGGCCAGACGTAGGACAGGGTATGGGGGGCAGCTTGCAAACAGATAAAACCTGGATTGCAGAATGCATCCACTTTGTCTGGCATAATCTGAAATGTCTGGAAAGGCATGCTGGAGGCAAATTCTAGGGAATTAAATGCCACACTAAGAAGGTGAGAGTTTATCTGAGAAGCAATAGTGACCCATTGAAGGTTCGTGAGATGGGGAATGACATGCTAGCTGCGTGGAAGATGTTTTGGAGAAGGGGGAGACTGGAAGTCAGGAGCCAGATGAGAAGTCTATTAGAAGAGTCCAGATGAAGATTTGAACTAAAAGGGCGGTCATGTGACAGAGCAGAAGAGGACCCATAAAGAGACGTTGTAGCGGTAGTAGAATTGACGACATTTGGCACCTGACTGGATGTGGGGGTAGGCGGTAAAGGAGTAGGAAGAGTCTAACATGACTCCAAAGTTGAGAACCTTAACGCCTAAAGGAAATGATGCCAATGCCCTCAACAGAAATAGGAAGTTTGGAAGAGGGTGGAAAGAATGTTTTGGATGTGCTGAGTTTGAGATGCTGATGGAGCCTCCTGGTGATACCAGCAGATAATTGGTCACATAGGGCTGGAGTCAGGCAAGAGATTAAGGCTGGATTTGAGAGTCCTCAGCATAAAGGTGCTAATTGAATCTATGGGAGCAGATGGTATCATCAAAGTGGGAAGAAAAACCAGAGAGAGAGAGAGAAAGAGGAGGACCTAGGACCGAGCGTTAGTGGTCATCCATGCTTACAGGATGATAGGGGAGAGGAAATGAAATTATGTATCTGAAGCACTAAACCAGCCTTAAAGCACCATATAAATGGCCATCATCATCATCACCATTGTCACCAGTCATCCTGCAAAGAGTAGAGGAGACTTGGACTGAGCCTTCTTGGTGGCTACATTTCCAATCAATCAAGGTTTTTAAAGTGTGAAACACTACTAATGGGGAAGAAGGAAGGGAACAAGTATTTAGAAGTGCCTACTATGTGCTAAGTGCTTTACAAATATTACCTCATTTAGTCCTCATCACAACTTTGGGAGGTAGGTGCTGACCTCATTTAACAGATAATGAAACTGAGGAAAATGGAAGTTTAAATGATTTGCCCAGGGTCACAAAGCTAGTAAGTGTCTGAGGTTGGATTTGAACTTATATCTTCCTAATTCTGGGCCCAGTGTACTAGCCACAGCACTACCTCACTGATGGTACTGACTTCCCTAGAGTAGGACATACATTTCATTTTTTTTTTTCTGGACATAGGGATGCCTGTGCTGAACCATCCGCATCTCAGGCCAGCCCCTTTGTTGCCAACTGCCACATAGGTAGCTTCCATTTTTTCCCTTTCAAGGTTTACAAAATGATAGGATCATAGATCTGGAACTGGAAGGGACCCCCAAGGCCATGTGTGGCCATAACATTTAGGAGTACTGATTATTGGTATACTGGAGGATCCTTGGCTTCAGTGGCCCAGAGCTCAGCTTCACATGTAAATTCAAAAATGTGAAATACCATGGTAACTTACACAGGGTTTTCTATATTGAGGGTGCTCGGTAAATGCATTTAATGAATGGTTTATTGATATTTTAATTTGTTTCAGGACTCATCTTCGTTATGCTCACAGAAGGGTGGAATGATTAAACAGGGCTGGTTGTTTAAAGCCAACGTGAACAGTACCATCACTGTAACCATGAAGGTAAGAACTCGTCATGTCACGGAGCCAGGTAGAATTGGCCTGTTGTGGAGTGCGCCTCATTTTGCACTGACGTCAGTGGGATGTTTGAAGAAGCACCAACTCTGAGGGTGCCTGTCTTCTTTCCCTAGCATGAAAGTCCTCCTCAATGGATGGCATTTTAAGAGTGTAGACATAAAAATAAATGAAGAAGAACAACTTGTTAAGGATAATTAACTACTACCCTCTGAGTCAGTTGATTAAAAGGGGAAATGACAGTTAAATGAAGAGAGTAAGCTCTGAGAAAAAGCACATTGATGATTCTTATGCTAGGGAAAAAAAAAAGAAATAAGAGTGTGCACGAAGATGAGGCAGTACATGAGAATTGTCACTTGACCCACTAAAGGCCAGAGTAGTTTAGAGGAAAAAGGGAACTTTCATCTGTGGTGATCAGAGAAGGCTTCATGGGGGAGGAATTGAACTGGAGAGTCCAGTTTCCCTAGGTGGATTTGGGTATGGGAGGTCATTTACGGCAGAAGAAATAGCGTCAGTCTGCACTCTGCATCAGCTCTCCTGCCGATGGATAGCGTGTTTCATCATGAATCCTTTGGATTTATGCTTGATCGTTGTGTTGATCAGAGTTCCTAAGTCGTTCAGGGTTGTTTGTCTTCATATTATCATTTTTATTGTATAAATTGTTCTCCTGGTTCTTCTCACTTCACTTTGTATTAGACCATAAAAGTCTTTCCAGGCTTCTCTGAAACCATCCCCTTGATGATTTCTTTCTGCACCGTAGTATTCCATTGCTTATGCATACCATAACTCATCTGTGAGATAATGTTTGTAAAGCATTTTGCAGACCTTAAAGCCCTATAGAAGTTGCTCACTATTATTCTCCTGCAACTGTTCACCAAATGCGCAGGTCAAAAAAAAATGTCAGTTTAGTGAAAGTTGCTGTTTTGTGCATTGGTGTCAATAGATGATGATGCCATGGCCTTAATCTTCCTTCTTTGCCTCCACATCATGAAAACATGCTCTCCCTACATGAATTTTATACATCCATACTACAGGTGTACCTCACTTAAAGCAAATCTAATATATACCAATTCTGATTTATAAATACAATCAGGTTGGGTTCTTTTATAGAAGCATTCACTCTAGAACTCCTTTACCTGGTGAGTTCCCTTGATGTGTTTAAAATGTTATTTGATTGACAAAAATTCAGTTCTCAGACAACTCTTTGGAGCGGTTCCTACCTAGGCACCTTCCAGGCACTTCACCACAGCTGGGAGACTTTGAAGGGGTTTCACAAGCAAACCAGGCTGATCAGTCAAGCAAAAAGCAGCAGGCCCTTTACTAGGATTTAACTCAGGAGTTAGGTATGGAACATTTCGGGGCAGGAGCAGAGGAGAGCAGGGGAAACTGAGCCTCTCTAGCAGGGGAAACTGAGCCTCTCTAGGATGCCAGAGCAGAGGCATTTCTCAATACCCTTTCTCAAGGGAATTTCTCAAGTCCCTTCACATTTTCCTTTAGCAGAGAGACCAACTGGTACTTATAGCCCACACAGTCAATGACAATTTTAGGCAGGAGCCTAAAGTGAGTTCATACTCGGAAATCACTGCAATGGCTCCTTGAGTCCCCATCCTTTAGCTTCTCAGAGTGAGCCAAAGCCCTTTGTGGCTTCCCCTGGAAGGTTCAGTCAGACCTGTTCTACACAGTCCTCTCGGGCATGCACAGGGCTCCCTGGAACCTTGCTTTGGAGCCAAGCTGACCTCTCCCTTTTCTCTGCCAGATCTACTCAACATGCCTTAGCCAGCTGCTTTGGGCTCCTATTCATTTGCATTCATTTGCACCAGTCAGCTCAGTGTCGGGTCCCATGCCTTTCAGCAAACACAACCCACAGTAGCACAGTGTGACACACACCATTTGCTGCAGTCTTTAATTCCATTCAGCCAACACAAGGCAGGCACCCTGGGGATACAAAGACAGACATGGCTGCAAGGCGCATTTGCAAGTCATTTGCAACATAAGCCTTTTGCTAAGGTGTGGAGGGATGAGGTCTATATTGTCAATGAAGGGAGCACCCACAATAATGAAATGGAAGCTCTTTTGAAATGCTCACTGTGTACCCAAGCTTTGGCCATCTCAAGTGGTCTGACAAAGCCCTGCTGGTAAGGAAGGCACATGGTGTAGGGGGAGCAATTCTTGTGCATGGCTCCCAGGGATCTTAGGAAGGTCAAATGATAAGATAGTGTAAAGTGCTGTTGGAAATATGAGGTATACTGAACTTGGGCTAAGCCATGACTTCTGGGCCTCAGTTTCTTCTGCTATAAAAAGAGGAGTTTGGGCTCCAGGATCCTCAAAGTCCTTTCCAGCTGTGGAAAGGGAAGCCTATCCATTGATGCTTTACATTTGCCTTCCCAGTGTCAAGTTGGGTTTGAAGATCTGGGGAAATGTCAGCTAAGGTTGCTCTGCATAGATGTGTTTTATGTGTCGTTAATTGTCGGTGATTCAGGGGGTGGTTTACCCAGTTTGCGTATTTCTTTAGCCCCCACTCAGTGTTGTACCGGTTAATGTTTAATAACCATAACCATACATAAGCTTATTATAAATTTTGCTGATTTAAAGGATGTATGGCATGCAATTTATAAATAATAATAAAACATACCATACCCTATATTGTAAATTCCATAGAGCCAATTGGTTGTCACAGAATGCTTTTGTTGATTTTTGCTGAACACTTGAATCCATAGCTAACCTGTGGTTGTGATTCAACTACTATTTGACAACGATAACGTGTCCCATTTTAGTGTCATTAAATTTCATACAGGATCTGCTGTTAAACTATTTCTCATCCTTGTACAAATTATATTCATTAAACGAAATCTCTTCCAGCATTAGCCCTACTGACTATAATAGCACTAATTATCTTGTTGGCCTTTTGTGTGGTTACAGACATTGGAAAGTAGTTTAATTTACATTATTATCTATGAAGTCCTGAAAATTTTATAAATCAATTTCACGTTTTAAAATTTCACTTAAATGATATCATTTTTTTTCACCAGATGTCCATGGTGAAGTTAGTTCTTCATAAGGACAAGTAGAAGGTTCTAATAAGTCAAAATAGTAAACAATGCTTTCATTATTATTTTTGTCCAATGAAAGATATAAGTTCATGTGTTGAATTATGTTTTAAAGTAACATATTCCTAGGAAGATCATTCAATTTATTATCTTTGTGAAATGGAATGTTTTAAAACTTCTCTGAATTAATCAAATCTTCAACTTGAGATTCATGCTTTCCAGCACAAATCTTTCCATTTTCCGAAGCTCTTGAGGTGTGTTGGATTATTTTGAAGCATTTTCAAAATGTTTGTTGATCTTGAATGCAAATGAAGTTAAAAGTCATGAAAAGTCTTCAAGAATGTCAATCATTTCAGCAAGGTCTTACAAGAAATTGATGTTAGCTAATGTGTTTGCCAAACCAGAATAGGAGAATGAGAAAACTATGTCTATGATGTAGGACATTGACTCCAGCAGCTGACAAATCACGTGCTGCCCACCTCAGTCCCAGCCCTCAGCCAATCTGTCATTTCAGTTTCAAGTTCTTTAGCTACAACTTCTGGCTTGGTTTGATTTTTGTTAGATTGGTGATAAAGAAAATACATTTTATCCAGAAATATTTAAAAACTATTAGCTTATTTTTAGGGCAGCTAGGTGGCTCAGTGGGCCAGGCCTGGAGTCAGGAAGACTCATCTTCCTGAATTCAAATTTGGCCTGTGTGACCCTGGGCAAGTTCACCTAACTCCTGACTGGAGGAGTTCACCTGAACTCCTAACTTAGCTGTGTGACCCTGGGCAAGTCACCGAACCCTGTTTTCCTCAGTTTCCTCATCTGTAAAATGAGCTGGAGAAGGAAATGTCAAACCATGCCAGTATCTTTGCCAAGAAAACCTCAGATGGGGTCAGGAAGAGTTAGATACAACTGAAAATGACTGAACAACACCACCAAAAATGAGAACCCCTTATATTCTTTCAGATATGGTATCATCAAGTGATAATTGCCACCAGTGATTTAAGTGGTGCCAAATGATGATTCTAGGACAATTTTCTAACAACTTGGTAGCGATTCTAAACTTTGTTCCCAACATTATATTAGCACTATCAATAATGCAATAAATTCACTTTCAGACATTCCTGATTAAAGCAGCCAGGTGGTGCAGTGGTTCGGGGCTGCTGTGAGGACCAAATGAGATGCCAATGGCACATAGTAGGTGCCTTAGAGATGTTGGCTGTTATTCACCATTAAAGTCACAATCATTTCAAAGAGACAATAACGTATTGAAAATTCCCTCTGCTGTGATTGGCAGCAATTCTTTGAAAACAACAAAGAATGTTATTGGGACAGGAGCTGATAGAGCTATGCCCTCGTTGTGTTTATCAACCAGCTTGTAAAATTCCTGAAAATGTCCTTGTCCTGAAAAGTCGTTGGTTCTTGGAGCATACATCACTGCTGCTGCTGTGGCTCATACTTAAAAGTATGCTTAAAAACCTACTGCAAAGAACCGGAGAAGTAGCAGATTGTGATATTTAGTAGCAGCTCAGAAATTTGATAGGGGCAGAACTTGACCTGATTGCTAAAATGAAGTATGGGGATTGTTGGCAGTTCTAGATTTCATCTCTTCCGGCTATTTGGTTTGCTGTAGATCTGTCCTCTTTCTTCTAGATTTAGTCTCCTAACCCACTCTTAATTGCTAGTGATATTTACAGGATGTTTTATGAATAGCTACATATAGAGATCACATAATGTTTCATAAATTAATGAATTTATATGTAGTTCTCTGGAACATCTTGAGAAGAAAATATACCGTATGTTTGCTTTCATTTTCTAATTTCTATTTCTAATCATAGGATTTTGAGCTACAAGGGGGCTTAGATCCAGGGTTTCTTAACCAAGGATTCACAGATCCCTCGGGGTCCATGGGTAGATTTCAGGGGATCGTTGAACTTGGATGGGGGAAAAATG